AAAAAAATTGTAATTGAGTTTTAAATTTAATATAATTTTACACCTGATGATGGTTTAATAAAACCGAAACATGTTGTAACTGTTCCAATTTTAAATCGATTATTCGATATGGAACACAGAATGATATTTTAATTATTTTAATTATCTTATTTAAATACATTGTGATTTGACGGAATAACCAAATAATTTAATTTTAATTTATTATTATTTATTTTTGACTGCAAATGGGTTTTTACCCGGTGTCAGTGGTCCTACAATAAGACACAACAAAAACAATAAGACAATATGTTTTTATTTCCCTCCAAGTCTTTTCCGTGTTGTCTTACTTGAGCTGTTGTTTACTTTTATGTATAATTTTTAATTTTATTTTTTGGGAATGTCTCTGATGCCTTCACATTCGCTAGTAATTCAACCAATTGAACCACCAATAAAATTAACGGAAGTCTGTTCGACAAAAATTCGTCTATCTGACTGAAACATAATGAGAACGTTCACATACAAAAAGGTCTGCAAAACGTACGCAAGCATATCGCTTTTCTTTCTTTGTCTTACAATTCCAGTCCGCCCGCCATGTGGCGGGGGTCGAGCACCTCTGGTAAGCACGGTTCACTACTGAGCGCGTGCTTCGATCTTGCAGTATAAACATGGCGGGCAATATCTGTGCACGGTGTGGTATAGTACAGTGGAGTACAGTGGGTGTGACTTGTTGAAATGTGGTGATCAGCTTTTGATATTGCTATACACGGTATGGCGCATAATGTGGAAACTCCGATCGACAGTTTTCTGGAACAATTCAAGCGAAGTGCAATGTTAGCTATGGAGGAAACACAACAATCAAGTAGTAATTTGTCTGCATTGGTTAAACGTAGCCAGAGCAGTATCAGTGCATTATCATTTGACACAGAGACCAATTTTCAACCTGGTAAATACTGATTCCAATTATTCTAATCATATATCTATGAACAGGATGCTTGGAAATGGTTAGTGGTAGAAACCCATCCTATGATACTGGAGAAAACATTTAGTTTAGGTTTATACAAGCTAGAATGTTGCATTCGTTTATCAAAGCATCAAGAAAACACAAGAATCTGCAGCGTTTATAAATTTCAGGGTACCTGATTTCAGAATACAGAACGTTTTAGCGCTTATATATTACGTAGAAAAAAATGTGTATTATTTTCAACCGTCAACATAAACAAATGGTAAGGACAGTGTTAAATATACGGTCATAAAATTACTGGATCTTTTAGGACGGAACTGGAGATCATATTAACTTAAGGACAAATATTTACATTCCACGTGTATTGCTACTGAGTCGCTTGGTCATGTTCTGTAAGGGGCCTCATGGCATGCTGAAAGGTAGGAAAGTCAATAATCACCAGTGGCCCTGAAGTAGGGATACAGCTTCTCGCACTTTAACTGCTATGCGAATATAAACAACGGTATATTGTCAGCATTTCACCAAGACTCAAAGTAAATTGAAATGCGTGCTGTTTTACACAGCAGACTTACGTTTTGTTATAATTCAGTAAAAGAAAATTGTTGCAATAATGAAATGAATGTCCATGACTTGAATATCACACCCTCTGTCAGGAAAATGACTGAAACGTAACGTTTTATCGATTTTCGTGTGTATTCTAAAGTTCGCGGTGTTGCATGTAGGGTTTAGTAAAACAATAATGTAGCTGTTTATTTAGTGAAGTAATTTATTGTGAATGCTTCTTTTAAGATATACAGAGAATCTATCATCTGTACTGACTCTTTCCAAATATATATATATATTCTGCCTGTTAAACAGTTTCATTTTGTTCTGTAATTTATGTGCATACAGTTATGTAATAATTGATTAGATTTAGCAACTGAACATTTGGTTCCTTGTCGATAGGAATAAGAGATCTACTACTGTGTAGAAAATTTGCACATCCTGAATAATGAGAATTTCCAGGCCGATAATAATGCATTGTCACTGTCCATGCCATCGATATTGTACTTCAGGTATGTTGGAAGTATATTTTTAAATTATTTCTTCCAGAGAAATTTTGTTATGTTTCCTATTTGAAATTTCGCGGGTTGCCTCCATGAGGTAGTCATAGAGCTAAGATTGTATGTTCAAGCTTCGAAATACTGAGCTTATTGAGCAGGCTGTATAGTTGAACGTACCTTGAAAAAGTGAAAGCGCTTATGCGCAATGATTAGAACGTTAATTAATATTTAATTAAATATCGTGTGTAGAGTTTTAAATTTCATTAATGTGTGTAACTGACTTGTGTTTTTCTACTGTTATCGTATGTATCGAAATGTTATTTTTCTATAGTCGTGTTTTCAACCAACTATTGAATTTGCGAAGGAATCCTGTTCAATTTCTAAACGCCATATTGGCTTTGTAATAATGAAAGTATTTATACGTAATAACACTTCTTTAGCAATATAGAAGTATTACGACTTTTACGGAAGATAAGGAAATTTGCTTCCGAAAAGAGCTATCAAGCTCGAAGATAGAAGTTGTGAGGAAAACAACGATAACAGGTAAATTGTTTCACGTTCTCTACATGGACATAAAGTCCAGTTTTGTTTGTCATGTGTCTCTGTCTTGCCATTTTGAACCATTTTGCGTAGCAATAAGGCTCAGAATTGAAAAATATTAACAAATGACCTTAGTATAGAAAACACATGTGTGTTGGAAATTTGGCTGCAGCTGTAGGATGTATATTGAATGAAACTACGCTGGTTATGAATTAAATAACATCTCACATCCCTCTCCTGCTTGAGATGATACATTAATAAAATAAATTTGAATCTGTTATTTGTATTCACTTCATTGCATTTCTTTATACCAGATTACAAGCTAGATTGGAATGGAAAGGGTTGATGCTGCTGAGAAAGAGGCAAGTGAAGTTCTCCATTCTCTTCTGTCTGTTGAACGTGTTGAAAGACAATGCCATGAATTAGACCCACAGCACCAGCAACAGGTTTGTTTTCTTTACAGCACACCTTTCAAAGTACAGAATACGGATTGGGCCCCGAAAAACATAATGTTTCAGAGCGATTTTTCATTCCCACAGTGGTCCTTCGAATTCGGGTTTAACTTGGTTTGGTTATGTTAGGTTATGTCAGATCATATTGACTTAGCTCAGGAAAACCAAAACTGCTTCTGCAATTACCAGCTTTTCCAACGATCTTGCAATCATGTCTGATGTTAGGTATGATGTATTAGGCAATAATAATAATAATAATAATAATCTGCATGGAAGTGTCAAAGAATAAAACTGTAGACTTATTGATGAATGACTTGCTTCATCGCTATTCGTGCAAAAGAAAACATATATATTCAGTCATCTACTGGTCAGCTATGATGCAACATGATGTGAATAAAGGTTATGTGGTTTTTAGCCGTATTCTAAAATCAAGTAGCCTACTTTGTTGCCTGGCCAAACAGAAATCTTAATTGTCATAATCCTACAAACCCTGTATTTTTATTTAGGCATTATATAATATTACTTGGCCTATCAGAAGTCATGACTGTTAAATTTGTCTTGTTCTATCCCTCTGCACCTTTGCAAATCACAATCAAGGGCACAGAGACTGAACATTAATTTACATTCTTAGAACCCAATACATAATGACTGAAGCTGACACTCACATGCAATTTAGAAATTGTGTATTCAGCATAGCATTTTTAAATACCGAGCATTAAAAATTATATTCATTTAGTTAGTTAAAGTAGGCACATGCATTTGGTTGTGGTAAGAGATTAATAAATTGTATATGAAATATTTTTGTATGCCAAGCAGATTCATGAAGATTTCTCCAAAACTTCATAATTTTGCTCTTTATATATATATGGCTTATCACCTATGACAATTCATTGCTTAGTCACCACAGAAACCACATCAGCAAAGTTCCACATTTTCAAATATTTAGGGCCACACAAAACATTAGAAGGCTAGGAATGTTACGTTTCTAATTCACACCAGTTCATAAACTTTGTCTCTCGCATTACAAGAAAAATATAGATTGAGGGTGGGTGGATGGTACCAAATGGATTTTAAGGGTGTAGGGTGGCAGGGTATAGACTGGATTCACATGGCTCAGGATGTGAACTGTTGTTAGTAATTAAATTTTAGGTTCTATAATAGGTGGGGTTAGCATTTACTGAGTAGCTAAGCAACTGTAAACTTATCAAGAAGGGCTGTGCTCCATGGAAGTAGTAGTGGCCTATTTGCTTCATGGAGTTTGTTAGTTTATAATAAGCATTTCTTTTTGTAACCATTTTTGGAGGAAAAGAGTTCTAATTCCAATGTGGACATCAGGGCTGTAGATGTTAAAGTGGAGGCTGAGCACCAGTAATAATAAATCCTGCCATACAGTTTTCTGAACCAGCTTCATATCTGTCCTCATAATTTACTTTCCTGTGTTTTATCTTAATATTATCCTTACACCTCTGTTTTTTTTGGTCTTACAAGAAGCTAGTTTCTCAGGACTGCCAAAGTAGTTACACAAAGTGACTAGTTTTTATAAAACTCATGAATATCTTGCTACTAAAGGGCACACTGTCTTGGTGGTCTTTAATTCCCTATCTTCAGAAGTATCATGGCATTCATGCTTACATATGAGGTTGGAGCAATGCTACTGGCATTTCATGTAGAGTCTTTACACTTTGTATGTTGGTAATATGCAGTATTTATTATGGCCATATTGTAAGAAAATTTAAAGTAGTAACATGACAAGCATGCTAAACCAATGAATCACTCTAAACTGATATGTTACATTTTCATGATGACATGTGCAACATGTATGAGTGGTGTCAGTGATATCAAAACCTGGAAATCTTAATCCTTCAGAACCGTAAAATTATAATATTAGTATTTGTCATAAACAATACTTTGTGCAGTCATGTGATTAGTATATTTATTTTATGCAGGTAGTGGTTTTAACTTCGAAGGATCCTGTTAATCCTAGACAGACTGGTAACAACTCAGGTGCACATCAACAGACACAAGATGTAGCTGGAGTGGTGCAGTGGCACACGCCGGTCACAACAGTCCACCAAGCGTTATTCACGAACATGCATGAGGTGACTTCTCAGTTCACAACACTCACAGGGGAACAAGTCATATGGCAGGAACACACCATTGAGGTGGACCAACAGCATCTGACAGCACAACAGCCAATCAGTATTGTCACACAAACTAGTGATGGCCGAGTAGCAGAATACACTACTGCAGTGCCGCCACCTCCACCACCACCACTGGCACCACTGCCAGCATCACAACCACAAGCACCACCGCCACTGGAACCATCATCACAATCACCACAACAAGAGGCAGATCCAAAGAAGAAAATTATAAAGATGACAAGACAAAGGAGTGAAAAACAGACAGGAACTCCAAAGAAGAAGAGTAAGGTGGCAGTGTCTGCTGTTGTCGGGATTCCATCCACACATTTGGAGGAAAATGCTCAAGAAGTACGAGAAAGGTTTGAGAAAGGTTGTGAGTGCCAGGAAGAGAACTGCTTCAAGGGCCTGAGTCCCGAATATGTGTATAGGCACCGGCTGAATATCGCTGAACTGACCAAGGCGGAGCACGACATGTATCTCATGGGTGTCACGATGGCAGTGCTGACAAATCCAGAGGAAACCGTAAGACACAAAGAAAGACGTAGACTTAGGGCTCAGTACGTCTTTCAAGGACGACGGGTTTGTTTAGATGCATTTCTGTACCTTGAGAACTGTACCCATTATCAGTTGAAAAGGATACGGAAACATGTGATGACCCATGGAGTAGCCCCTCGTATCCATGGGAACCATGGAAAGAAGCCTCACAATACATTCTCATTAGACATCTATCGCCATACTACCTCATTTCTACGTCACTTTATTCAGCGCCACACTCCTGGATCCAGTGTGAATCAGAACACATCATCACAGCAAGTGACTGCTGCTACCACAAAATGCAAGTCGAAATCAGGTAGTAAAACACCTCCTTTATATCTTCCTGCAGAGATTACAAGGAAAACTATTCACAATGCATATCGTGAATATTGTGAACATTTTGAACCATCAATTAAAGTTATGGGATACACTACGTTCAGACATTTCATGAAAGAACAGTTTCCACACGTAAAGTTTTGCAAAGTTGAAGGTGGAGTCAATAAGCCTGCGTCAAATTCAGGAAGTCACCCACAACAACAGTCACAGCAGCAACAAACAGGAAATACTCCTATTGAAGTGGAGATAGTAAATCAGCAAGGAACGAAGCTCCAAGGTGATGATACAGTTACTATTGTTAGAGAGACGCCGGTATCACATCAAGATCCACAGTCTGCTACTATTATTACAACGTCTGGTGAGGTACAACAGGTTACTGCAATACCAGTTGTTGTTGAACAGGAAGCACGTGGACTGTCCCATCAGCAGCAGACAGCATTCATTGTTACACCCGTGTCACAGATGATTCAGGCACCAATAAGTGTCAGTACAATCACTGACAGCTCATACACATCTTACCAGTTAACAACAGCACCACCCAGGAGTTACACCACTCATCAACATCTAACAGATCCAGATGTTGTAACGATCACCTCGATCCCAAATACCGCAGCGAGCGCATATAGATTTACAACATTATAGTCTGGCATGCTTTTTGGTACAAAAGTAAATTAATCAATAATTAATGATTTGACAGGCATGTACAGTTCTTCAGTTTGCCCAGTATTTTACTCTTTGAAAGAATTTGTTGCTAGAAATGGCTAATGTTGATTGTATGAAGCATACAAGAAAGCAAGTACTTAGAAACTGAAAATATGTTATTGTAAGTATCTTTTCCTGTATTAAAATTATCAATCTGTAGAAATATATATTTTATCTTTTATTGAAAAATACAGAATATGTGGGCATTTTGAAATATTCAATTTGTATAGAAGGTACAGTTATCTGCAATGAATTAAGTTATTCCTAGGTATCCCCATTTCATGATATCAGAGCAGATTTATCACCTCTGGTTGATGAGATTAGAAAAGCATGTTTCAAACTTTGTTTGTGTATTGGCAGCACCTGAACAGTCAACTTTTTTTTTTTTGCTATATATTACAATCTTAAAACGTTGCAAGCTGTGAAGTACATATAAACAAAAACTGTTTACACTTTAAAAAGACACTTAGTTCATATTAAATCATACAATTCATAAGATGATGGTTTGTTATAAAGCATAAAAGGCCGCTTTATAAAAAAAACATTGTCTTATGGATTGTATGATTTAATATGAATTAATTTTTTTACTGCTAATGAAGACCTCTTGAGGTTCAAACTCGTTTGGCACTGTGTCTTTTCAAAGTGTAAACAGTTTTTGTTTGTATGCATGATTTTTATATATATATATTTATATATATTTTACAATGCTGTTCCCATAAGAGCAATAGTTCGGACATAGCACAGAATTTATATATGGAAGCCTGGGCTGCTATTTGAATATTTGCAGTAATTTCTGTTGACCAGACCTTAGTTACAGACTTCCATGGCTCCATTGTGGTATGTAATGTAACAGAAAGTTGTACAACAGACATTGTAATCAAGTGACTATGGATGCATGTGATGATATTTGTATTATATATATGTACATATGAATAAAATACATAATTCATTATGAGATTTTCATGGAGGTGAAAATTTCGGTCCTGGTCTTCTGGGTTATGATACTACAGAATCGTCTAGATGGTTACCAACTGTTTTGAGGCACATTTTACGTATTTTCAGTGTACTGAACCTACAAGACTACAAAGCATCACAACACCAAAGACACAATGCAAATATATTCCAAAATAAGCATGAATTTGTGAGGTGGAACAGTGATGATCCCATTATCCTGTACATGTGTTTTGTCGGGATTACCATTTTCAGAAAAGTAAGTTTTGGAACAGACCATGGAATTCATAGGGCCTCCGATAGATGGCAATACCATCTCGGCTAAGAAATGTGACAGTCTAGGATGGGCCGTTAAGAGTTTTATCTTATCGTAAAGCGCGAAAAATACGTAATAAATAAAAAGAGAAAAAACTGTGTACTGCCCAAGATTCAAGCAGAACTGGTATCGTACAGCTCCCTTATAAAATGCACTATGTAAGCATGCGGGACATTATGTAAATTCACTTCTTCTGTGTCGCCCGTACCCAAGAACAGTAAGTTGTCCATCATTAAAATCCAGGTATGGTACTATAGATAAAGAGTATCGTATTATCTGAAAAATCTTACTATGCCGATTATAGGGGATTTCTGTGATCCCTTATGACCGCTATAGTGGCCAAGGACTATGAAATCCTTGGAGTTAGATGTCGGTGGTTTGTCTGTCTGTCTAGTGTTGTGATACGAGACGTTATCAATGACCTGAAAGGGGATTGCAACGAACAGGTGGCATGTTGTTAACACAGCATAGTCACAAGACAATGATATCAGTCTTCCACACTGCTGCACTAACACAGACTGTACTGACTGACGGAAACCAGTGGAAAATTAATTGTTTCCTTTCCTGCTAATCCTTCTATTGAGTGGTCGGCATACTGGGCTCTCTCGACAAGGTCAACGGTCAAAAACGGTGAATCCAGCTATACTTCTTCTGTCATTTGAAAGAAGGGTGATATGTTAATAATTCATACTGATACAATAACGTTACGTTCAAACTTAGAAACTGAAGAAATTTTACCGTTCATTTCACTTCGTTTCGCAGTGCAGTTAGTGATTTGGCATTTTTCCAGTGCGTGCAGCTGTTGTGTGTGTTGAAATAACAAATGGACAGGTGTGTTTTTTCCAGTGCGTTAATTGCAGTTTTACATCTGTCAGTATAGGTACATTTTTCAGTTTAGTTCGTTAAATATACACCATACCAAAGTTGTTGCAATAGTGACCGTAATTAGATGCAAGTTTAATGTGACATATTAATTTTTAGTAGTTAAATAGAGCTTTATTTAAAATATCAGTTTGGTTCAACATTAAATTTGTCCAATATTTAGTACAGCCACGCCCCCTTCCTTCCCCTGCCAAAATATTAATTTTTAAATGGTTTTGGTAGATAAAGTAAACATTCACAAAAAGTAAGAGTGATGGATATCACCTCAACAGTATTATCTCTTCTGTCTTAACCAACTTTTCCTTCTTCTAGAAACTAAACTGCTTGTTGGAATGGATTGACAATTTGTTACTGTGCTGTTTGCAAGATTGTATGCCATTTCAGTATTTATTTATTTATTTACAAGTTCCAGAAATCCAATAGTGGATATAGAACACGTCATAAACTCAAGTATAAAAGCATAAAATACATACATTAAAGAATTACATCTAGACAAGCAGCGTACTAAATTCAAAACAATATAACTAGTATTTTTATTACAATAGTTATCCAATTAAGTACTCATCCACAGTGTAAAACGAGTAATTAAAAAATGCCTTAATGCAACCTTGAACTTTTTACGATTAATTGAGGTATTCTTAATCTTGGCATTTACTTTGTAATTAAAACCACTTCTATAATGTGATGTACTGAGATACAGCTCAGGAATGTTGTCCTTGCACAAAAATTGCAATTGGAAATTTTATTCCATGTGACAAGTGTTCCTTTTGAATCGATTTGGGAGGAGGCTGTCCCATACCCCATATATGTCTAAAATATATTTTGGTGGATTAGGTTATTTTACTTTTAGTTTTTTTTAAACCCCCCTAGTTTTTCTTATATCAAAACACTTCAATTTTCCTTCTTTGCTTCAACCTTTATCTTACAGTAGACATTTTCTAACAAGGTCAAAGGCAGAAGACTGCATGTCTGCACTCACTTTACCCTGCTGATTAGGTTGCTGTTACCATCTGTAACACCGTAGACTTTTATTTAGGAGGTACCTGGTTCAAACTTCAGTTCAGTTACTGGCTAGTACTGAGATCTGAGATGGTTTTCTTCATTCTGGAAGTAGATCCTGGGACAGTGCCATCTAATATGCTGTGATCTATTCTAAGTTCTACCTACCTACTATTTTTAATCATCTCCATCTCTCATTCATTACTGTTTAATCTCCAGAACCAAATCAGACATTGTGATAACATTTGTCACTGAGTGAAATAAAGAGTGACTTGTTTTCACCCATGCATATAACTTGTCCAGTTTGTTACCTTATTTGTGAGAGTTGAGGTTACTTTAAAGCAGTGTTTATTAATTTTTGAAAGACTCTATAAATGTTTAAATTAAGTTCCCAACCCACCTTCGATGATCATCTCATTCAGTGCTGTAAACCTCTGAAAATAGCAACAATGGACCAACAATCAATCAGTCAGTATAGACTTTCATCTTTGTTTCTGCTAGTCAGTTTCTCTTAAAGTTCAGTTTACATGCTGGTTAGACTCTGTAAATTTCATTCCTTCATGTTTCAGATGATGTGATGGAGGGTGTTGAGCTGGCAGTGAGAGATGTAGTTGATCTCTTGCATGCTCAGTATGCCATAATAACAGGTAAGTTACTGTTCAATCCAAATGCCAGATATGGCATATGATATTTTATATATAGACTCCTGACTCTGTATATATGTATGTAGTTGCAGGTATACATGAGTATTCAGTTTTGACTATTATTATGGATATTTAACAACAGAAAATTGCATGGAACGTAGTAATACAGTGGTAATCTCAACATGTTACTACTACATTTTCCCCTGTCCCCTCGATTAACCTGAATAATACATAATATATTGGAGATTGCATTTCTTGATCGGTTCTTGTATATTCCAGGTGGAAAGTCCAGTGTTGGATGCCCGATCCTCACATTCCCAGACCTGGGAAACTTCTGCAGCCTGGGAGATGTGGAATACCAGCGCCTTGTTCAGTACCTGACCTCAGTGCCATCGTAAGTGAAGTAAAGGATGGTAGAAAGTAAATTGTTTGCATTTGCTGGACTAAAACTAATATGAGATGACAAATTTTAAGGACACAGTACAGAGAAACTATCATCTTTCCGAATACTATATCAACTTGCCCTGTTATGGATATTACGAAATAGGATGTTAACATATTTTTGTAGTTGTTGCTAAGTATCTCCTTCCTGCAGGTGATATTTTATAAACATTGATGTGATCTTATAAAAGACTTCATATGTTTTTTTTCAGTTTCTATAGTGTAATGTAACATACATTGCTGACATTTGTTATTTATTTATTTTTATTTTTATTTTATTTACAAGTTCCAAGAATCCAATAGTGGATATAGAACACGTCACAAACTCAAGTATAAAAACATAAAATACATACATTAAAAAATTACATCTAGACAAGCAGCGTACTAAATTCAAGACAATATAATTAGTATTTTTATTACAATAGTTATCCAATTAAGTACTCATCCACAGTGTAAAACGAGTGAGTAATTAAGAAATGCCTTAATGCAACCTTAAACTTTTTAAATTATTTGAGGTATTCTTAACCTCTGTGGGTAATTTATTAAATATCTTTATACCCGCATAGTGAACTCCTTTCTGATAGATAGTTAAATTGGCTTGGGGTAGATACAAATTTTGTCTCTGTCTAGTATCAATAGTATGAGAGTCAATGTTTGATGGAAAGAGTTTTGTTTTGTAATACAAACAATAATAAAGAAAATATATATTGTGATGCCAACGGTAAGATATCTAATTCTTTGAATATATTTCTACACGATACTCTATTGCTACATCCCATCATTGTTCTAATTGCCTTTTTCTGAAGGAGAAAAATAGTGTAACTACTAGATGAATTTCCCCAGAAAATGATGCCATAGCTCATTAAGGAATGAAAGAAAGCATAATAAATTGTCTTTAGTACTGAAATAGACATATATGGTTTCATATTTCTAATTACATAGCAAGCCTTGCTCAATTTTTTAATAAGTAGATCAATATGATTCTTCCAAGTTAATGCACCATCAATCATAATTCCCAAGAATTTAGTACAGAAGATATTATTAATGAATTTATTATTATAACTTATTGTGACAGTATCTGACATTATCATCATTATTTCTTAATTTCTTTAAAATTAAATTATTTGGTTATTCCGTCAAATCACAATGTATTTAAAATAAGATAATTAAAATAATTAAAATATAATTCTGTGTTCCATATCGAATAATCGATTTAATTTCTTTTAGTCAGAGAAATGTGTCACACACTCTTGTGTCTGATTGAGTACATTTCTGACTGACTCCCATAGTGCAGGGTCTTTTTTAAGAAGTAATTAGTTCTTAGCTGGTCAAGAAATTAGCTTCTTATGTTACCTAACAGGTTCATTATCAGTTTCGCAAAGAACCCATCATTGGGCACTGTCATGGGCCACTTGAACTTTATGTCATATGTCTTTGAGATCTATTTTAATAATATCTCTCCATCTACATTTAAGTTTTCCAAGTGGTCTCTCTTCCCTTGAAGATTTCTGACTAAGATTTTGTATGTATATTTATTTCTGTCATGTATGCTATATTCATTGTGACCTTGAATTGATTAGCCTAATAATAAATTTGGAAAGAGTACAAATAATGAAGGTAGTCTGTCTGTCATAATGTTTATTACATCCAGGTAATAAAAACTTTAAGAAAATTGTGTAAAACAAAAGATCAAATGATCTTTATGTTACAGACCGTAGGCGGTTGCACCGTTTCTGAAACAAGCTATTAATTCGTTTTGGTTTGTAATACTTCACTGAATATCTTTCTTGTTCTCACAATAAATCTCCTTTCTTCAGGATGCAGGAGGCAGACTCAGGTTTTGTGTTGGTGATAGATCGTCGGAATGACAAGTGGAATTCGGTGAAGACCGTCCTGCTCAAAATCTCAGTGAGTATTAGAACGCAAAGCCTTTGTATTCACTTTGTAGAAGTGACGTACTGTAGGTAGCATGAGGATGTAACAGCAGTCTTCTAGACTTGTATTTGGGACGTACCTCGTCTGAATTTTTACCAGGTAACCTGACTAAAGATTTTTATGTTTTTTCTCAGTCTCTCCACCAGACTGCTAGTTCAGTACCTTCAGTTAGACCAAAGTACACTCCATTCAATTTATTAAATACTCATCATTATCTTCCCATCTTATTCAGTAATCTATAACAGGTGAAAATAAACTGAGAATTGATCAATTGCATTGTATAGACAGTGAAATACGATTAGAACAGACTCCAGTAGACTGTGAAAATATATTTGATAAACTGAAATTTAATACTCCTTTCAGTATCACTGTTGTACTCGGTCTGACATTTTGGAGTATCACATTCCAGTCTGTCAATTCGAACTGAAATTTGTTCTGTTAATGTGTTTTTATAAGTTCAAATAAATGGACCTCAAAAATACTTGTCTCGCCGATCATGTAGTAAGATCATGTTTCAAGCCATTAATAGGTTGTGTCTGACAGTTTTAAATGTAAGTGAACATTTGGACTTGATAGAATGTGTTAAAATAAATTAACTGTATACGATTTAAATATGTAAATTATACTGTCTCTTTTTCTGAAGGAGAAAAATAGTGTAACTACTAGATGAATTTCCCCAGAAAATGATGCCATAGCTCATTAAGGAATGAAAGAAAGCATAATAAATTGTCTTTAGTACTGAAATAGACATATATGGTTTCATATTTCTAATTACATAGCAAGCCTTGCTCAATTTTTTAATAAGTAGATCAATATGATTCTTCCAAGTTAATGCACCATCAATCATAATTCCCAAGAATTTAGTACAGAAGATATTATTAATGAATTTATTATTATAACTTATTGTGACAGTATCTGACATTATCATCATTATTTCTTAATTTCTTTAAAATTAAATTATTTGGTTATTCCGTCAAATCACAATGTATTTAAAATAAGATAATTAAAATAATTAAAATATAATTCTGTGTTCCATATCGAATAATCGATTTAATTTCTTTTAGTCAGAGAAATGTGTCACACACTCTTGTGTCTGATTGAGTACATTTCTGACTGACTCCCATAGTGCAGGGTCTTTTTTAAGAAGTAATTAGTTCTTAGCTGGTCAAGAAATTAGCTTCTTATGTTACCTAACAGGTTCATTATCAGTTTCGCAAAGAACCCATCATTGGGCACTGTCATGGGCCACTTGAACTTTATGTCATATGTCTTTGAGATCTATTTTAATAATATCTCTCCATCTACATTTAAGTTTTCCAAGTGGTCTCTCTTCCCTTGAAGATTTCTGACTAAGATTTTGTATGTATATTTATTTCTGTCATGTATGCTATATTCATTGTGACCTTGAATTGATTAGCCTAATAATAAATTTGGAAAGAGTACAAATAATGAAGGTAGTCTGTCTGTCATAATGTTTATTACATCCAGGTAATAAAAACTTTAAGAAAATTGTGTAAAACAAAAGATCAAATGATCTTTATGTTACAGACCGTAGGCGGTTGCACCGTTTCTGAAACAAGCTATTAATTCGTTTTGGTTTGTAATACTTCACTGAATATCTTTCTTGTTCTCACAATAAATCTCCTTTCTTCAGGATGCAGGAGGCAGACTCAGGTTTTGTGTTGGTGATAGATCGTCGGAATGACAAGTGGAATTCGGTGAAGACCGTCCTGCTCAAAATCTCAGTGAGTATTAGAACGCAAAGCCTTTGTATTCACTTTGTAGAAGTGACGTACTGTAGGTAGCATGAGGATGTAACAGCAGTCTTCTAGACTTGTATTTGGGACGTACCTCGTCTGAATTTTTACCAGGTAACCTGACTAAAGATTTTTATGTTTTTTCTCAGTCTCTCCACCAGACTGCTAGTTCAGTACCTTCAGTTAGACCAAAGTACACTCCATTCAATTTATTAAATACTCATCATTATCTTCCCATCTTATTCAGTAATCTATAACAGGTGAAAATAAACTGAGAATTGATCAATTGCATTGTATAGACAGTGAAATACGATTAGAACAGACTCCAGTAGACTGTGAAAATATATTTGATAAACTGAAATTTAATACTCCTTTCAGTATCACTGTTGTACTCGGTCTGACATTTTGGAGTATCACATTCCAGTCTGTCAATTCGAACTGAAATTTGTTCTGTTAATGTGTTTTTATAAGTTCAAATAAATGGACCTCAAAAATACTTGTCTCGCCGATCATGTAGTAAGATCATGTTTCAAGCCATTAATAGGTTGTGTCTGACAGTTTTAAATGTAAGTGAACATTTGGACTTGATAGAATGTGTTAAAATAAATTAACTGTATACGATTTAAATATGTAAATTATACTGTCTCTATATTATGAGCCGGGATAGCTCAGTCAGTATAGTGACTAGCTACGGGCTGGACGACCGGGGTTCAATGCCCGACGGGGGCAGAGGATTTTTCCTCTAGCCTCTGCGTCCAGACCGGCTCTGGGGCCCACCCAGCCTCCTCTACAATGGGTACCGGGGTCCTTTCTCGGGGGTAAAGCCAGCCGGGGCGTGATACTGACCACTCACCCCCATCTAGTGCCGAGGTCAAGGAAGAGAGGAGCTATACCTCCACTCCCCCCCAAACGCCTACATGGTGTATAGTGGGACAGCTTTACTTTACTTTTTACTGTCTGTTTATTTGCATGAATTATGTTCTTTTATTAATTTTGATAGAACTAAACAAATGTATCATTATAAATTAAATATCTGCACTGTACCAGATCTACACAAGCTTTGTGTCCAATGCAATATGTATCAATATATTATTATCTTACCATCGTGAAATTATTAGATAACAATATCTTAAAAATCAGAAGTCTCAGACTTTAATTCCCCTCTTGTGGGAAACCAGCTTTCAAAAAAATTAAATTTGCATATGATGTGTATTTTTTTTCCACTAGGGCTTCTTCCCTGGCCTTATTCATGTAGCTTATGTACTGCGGCCAGCAGGGTTTCTGCAGAAAGCCATCTCTGAAGTCAGTAATAAACTATTCAAAGAGGAGTTCAAATTTAGGGTAAGTTTTGTATATGTTCTAACATCAATTCATTGGTAAATGCCTGCTGTTGATACACTATCATTAAATAAATCACAAACCAGCTGACCAGAAATAGTACCTTAAAATAGGCCATAAGCACTCACATTCTGTAATCGCAGTTTGTAGTTTAATTTGTTTGTGCAGGTGGTTGTGTGTAGTTGTGTGGAAGAGCTGCATGAAAATGTGGAGAAAAGTCAGTTGACTGCTGATCTTGGAGGACAGATTCCCTACTGCCATCAGGAGTGGATCCAGCAGCGGGTGGTAAGGTCAAGGTTTACTGTGAAAACTCTTTCTGCACCACAGTAACTCCAAAACTGTATTCCCATGAGGTTCTGTTTTTGTAGATTTAATGCGTATCACCAACTTGTTTATCTTTTGTGGACATTCAACATTTCTAGTTTCCTTGTTTCCATTCTATAATATAATTTTCTTTCAGCTTTCAACATTTTTCTACCATTATCTTTTAAATACTGGTTTATAATTTATGTTTAATATTGGCCCCTTTTTTGTCTCAGATTGTAACTCCTGCAAATTGGGTTGGAATGGAATATACGAGGTGCGATCGTAAAGTTTCAAGACTGCGCCTATAAAAACCCGTACACTTATCTCAGGTATTAAATTCATCCATCACCCTCGAAGTAGTTCCCCTGGGAGTGAACACAACGATCCCAGCGCCGCTGCCAAGCCTGGAAGCATCCCTGGAAATCTTTCTTTGCCAGCCTGTCAAGCACCATCTGCGATTCTGCCTGAATCTCTTCTGATGCGTCGCCTGTGGAGTTCTTCCTTTAGAATCAGCTGACATGTCCCATAGCCTATCCCAACAATGTCGCATTAGTCGTTGATGGTACGACGTCGATCTTCGTAACATTTTCGGGCGTTGTGCTCGAAGATGGTCGTCCAGAACGCTCGTCATCATCGACAGCGGTTCGGCCATTTTTAAAACGTGAATGCCACCCAAAAGTTTGTGCACGACCCATTGCGGACTCCCCAAATGCTTGCTTTAGCATTTCATAGGTTTCCGTAGCCGTTTTGGCGAGTCTTTGGCAAAATTTGATGCACACGCCATTCCGAAATCGCAGGAGGGTCGGTGTAATGCACTACCAAAACGCCCGTAACTAAGAAACAAATCCTAATTCGATGATGCCGGCTGGCACACTGATTCACTATGAATGTAGGCCGCACCCCCTAAAGGCAGAAGCTCGTACTGCATCCGGTTCGCCCTCTATTGACACAGTCTGGAAACTTTCCGATTGCACCTCGTATGGATATCTCTAACTAATTGTTTACGCTGATATTATTCAGAGGCATGGAACATGATTTTAACTTGTTGCAGTTTAGTATTAATAGCAGGAGATAATGAATGTGTGAAGAAGGATAGCTCTTTTGTGAATATGTTCTAAACTTTCCAGTGATTAAGAAGGTGTTTTCTGAGTTCAGAGTTATTATCTATATTTTATCATTTATCAGCCATGTGTCATTTACACACAGTCCAATGCAATAGCATGCTGTTAAACTATAAGTCCTCTGTGTAAATTTGGCCATCAGCCCCTTAGGTACATAGTTAGTTCAATGATGATTGAACAGGATTCTAGTGAGATTACAGGTTTGATATTATTATTATTATTAAGTGTTCTGTCTTACGACAGGTCCATTGCTCTGCCCAAAAAGAGCTCTCCAGTTGTCCCTATTCTCGGCTTCTCGCTTTAATTCCTGGAACGTCATCTTCTTTCCTTGTTTAAGGTCGTCGGTTAGCTGTATCAATCTTCTTCCTAGTCCTCTCTTTCCTTCAACCTGGCCTTCGATGATATCACTCAGTAACCCATTCCTTCTCATAATATGTCCCAGCCAGTTAGCTTTCCTTCGTGTAATCGCCTGCAGAATGTTTCTTTGCTACAGGTTTGATAGAAACAGTAATTTAATAAACGTTTCTTAATTATTTGGAGGAATCTTATTTAAGGGTACTCATGTTAAAAATGTGTTTTGTGAAAACTTTTATAATTTTTGTATCTTAGATTTTAAATTTTGGTTTGAAATTGTGTCAGAATATTTGTGATGGAAAGTGTAAGGTGTAGAATATACAGTATGGTGATCTACATTAATACTGGTTCCACCTTCTTTTTCATAAGTTTCGTCTTGATTTTTTAATGTGTCGACAGTCACAATGACCAAAGCAGATGAGTTGAGTAAGCCCAGTATCCTTTAGGAAATATTTTTTAATATGCTGAAACATTTGAAGTTAACAATATATATTTTCACTCAGGCTTTGGAAAAGTTTTCATGCAATATGCAAGAGGTGTCAGCTGCTTTGGACAGTTTCACACAAAGTCTGCAGGACGTAGAATTCCCAAATGATGTGGATGCCACTCAACAACTTCTCAACTTACAGGTACTCTTCAAGTAATGTAATTTCCAACACAGTCAGAAAATAAGAAAATTGTGTGATCATCTCTATATGGAAGATAAATTTCAGGAAAAATAAAAAACTTCTGATGCCTGCTTTTCTCTATAGATGCAATTAACATATTTAACATGGCTACCTGGTTGCCCATTACACTAGCTGTTGTCACTTCCATTTTATGTACACACACGTGCACAAACAGACAAAACAAAAAGGAGAAGATTTAAAGACTGGGTTGTTGACAGATGTCTAGTAAACCTGATAGTATTTAAATTTACATAGTTACTAAAACATAACCTATATTTCCTTGGTACTGGATTCAGCATGTAGGTATTGGCAAGATTGTGTTTTAATACTAACAAAATTATTCCCATACTTTATTAAATATTCATTATCACTGAAGTTATTTGCATCGAAGTGCCAGTCAGTGTCTACAACTAATTCATCATTAACTTTGTCATGTGCTCTAGTAATTACATTCTTCTACTTTTGCTTGGTTTATGAGCCGGGATAGCTCAGTCAGTATAGTGACTAGCTACGGGCTGGACGACCGGGGTTCGATCCCCGACGGGGGGCAGAGGATTTTTCCTCTAGCCTCTGCGTCCAGACCGGCTCTGGGGCCCACCCAGCCTCCTCTACAATGGGTACCGGGGTCCTTTCCCGGGGGTAAAGCCGGCCGGGGCGTGATGCTGACCACTCACCCCCATCTAGTGCCGAGGTCAAGAAAGGGAGGAGCTATACCTCCACTCCCCCCAAGCGCCTACATGGCGTATAGTGGGACAAACTTTACTTTTGCTTGGTTTATGTTCGTTTTATTAGTTCTGCTGTTACATGCCCTCCCTCTCCATAGAATGTATTGGAATTACAAAAAATGTGTGGAAGCTAGAACAGTTTAATTTATAAAATATAGTGGAATCTGTTACTGAAAAACATTTAGAATGTTATCACTAACAAACACACACAGATGTGTGTGGTGGCAACAACACGTTTGGGACACAATAGTGTGATGCCACTTCTGATTGTCAGTTCCCGACCCACACTTTCACTGGACCACTTTTAAATTGCTACAAGTCATCGTGGATCAGTTTATGGTTCTTCTGCCTGTTGTTTGATAGTTTTGTAACTCACTGAGTTAAGGTGCTAATGATGAAAATAAAGATGTTGGTACTGTGCTTAATGTAGTCTACAAGTTTCTTGGCACTTCTGTTCTAGGTATTAATGTTTTACTTAATATGTTTATATTTTTTTTTTTGTAATCACAGTTCTGCTGATTACCTGAACAAGATTAATGGACCATTGGTAGTCTGCAGACTATACTTTAGAACCTCTCTGTTATATCATTCTGGGCTAAATAAATTAACACTGCAGCCTTTGCCACATTTATAGATGACAAGGACCCATAGTATTACATTCTGTTCCATACTGTCCTTACTTAATTGTTATAGAATTTTCGACAAAACCGCGGTCCTGTTACAGGCTTCAGCAGATTCCTGACAGCATTAATGGCAGGTGTCTGTGAACATAGTAATGAACCTTCAGATTTCTTAAAATTCATTATTTTTTTACTCCTGGAGCTACTGTAATTTTTTCAAGGAAGATTCCTGCAGTGTGTTGGTAGCCAGGTAATTAGATTTTAATGTACCGTATGATATGTTCACACATGCTGAATCTTTGATTTCTGTATATAGGGTATTGAATATTCAGAACTGAAAGAAGAAATTTTAAATGCTGCAAAGCATGGTGAATATCTCCTTAACAGTATTAGGCAACATTCTGCCACCAGTAATACCACTACCTCAACATGTGCCAGCAGAGAAGACCAACTGGAGATTTATCGTGCCTGTCCATACAGATTGGGCAATGTCACAGCTGTGGAAAGGTATTGCTGTTTTACTTTGATAAATATTCTAGTTCTGTTGGATTTAATTATAAAATTTCAATTTATGAGAAAACTGTAATTATGGTGTTTATGTCCTCATGGACAGTGGAAGGAAATAGTTGTAACTCTATTTTGAAATATCCCAGTACTTGGCTGGAGGAACGAGAACAACAACAAAGGAAATCTGTCAGCATAGGCCTTCCTTTGGAGACGGTACTACTACGAGGGGCGTTCTCAAAGTAAGTTTCCCACTCGTCCCACAGCTAGCAAACCTTATATTGCGCGAAGCGACTGTGCGTACGTGATAGAGCAATGACGTAACATGGCGCATGCACTAACGGCACCTCCCGCGTTCTCACAGTAGCATCGTTGCAGCTGTTGAAGATGGAGGTTCTTATTCCAGCTCCCGCCGACTGTGAAGTGCGGTCAGTGATAACGCTAGGCCGCACACGGCTTGACAGACAGCAAGTCTCCTGCAGGAGTTTAGCTGGGAGGTGTTTAATCATTCACCCTCCAGCCCGGACCTCGCTCCCAGTGATTTCCATCTTTTCCTACACCTCAAGAAATTCCTGTCCGGTCAGCGTCAGCGTTTTGAGAATGACAGAGAGGCGGAGATGGTTGTCACACAGTGGTTCCAATCCCAGGCGGCAGACTTCTACGACACAGGTATTCAAAAGTTGGTCCCACGGTATGACCAATGTCTCAATTCCGGTGGCGAATATGTTGAAAAATAGCTGTACACTTGCTGTATCTGTTGCAATAAATATTTCCATGAAATTGTGTTTTGTTTCTGTAAACGGCCCCAGGGAAAGTTACTTTGAGGACGTGCTTCGTATTATACACTGCAACATTATTTTTTCCCCCCTAAAGTGGCATTCAATTGCTTGGATTTGTATGTTTTAAGTTCACAATATTTAAATATTTCTACACCTTATATCTTATTCCCAAGTGAAACAAGTACAGTAAGTTTGTTTATTTATTTTAACAGGCTACTTGTTCAGCTTGAAGAGACTGAGAGAACTTTTGATGATTTCTGGTTTAGTCACTCGGCACGTTTACGACAGTGCCTCGAATTGAGAAGGTTCGAACAGGACTTCAAAGAGCTACAGGTGTGGATGTAAAGCAGAATTTGTTGACGTTGTTGCAGTGAAGTGATAACATGCAATCCCTGTGATGGTTCATAGCTATTATTTGAAATCCAGCCACTATTCATACAGTAATTTCTGTCTTTATACTCAGCTACTACTATAATTTTTGTGCTGATACCTGCATAATTTTATATTCAGTCTTTGTTCACAGTTTCTGTCGTAATGCGTGCTACTGAGATTTGGCCACTGTTTAAAACTTCCATGGTAGTACTTGGTGATCATTCAAGACCTTGTCTTGAATTATTATAATTTCTGTTGTAGTACCATCTATAATTTGAATCCTGGTTATTAATTTAGCCTCAGTATTTTATCAAATATATGGTATATTCACTCTGTCTGTTGAGCTTCACTGTTTGTTTGTTTCAGAGTAACTTTGACAGCCACTTGAAGGTGGCGTGTGAGATGACTGAGATTGGTGAGACTGTTGCAAGAGTGGACACACTCATCAAAGAAGCTGCTGCCTTTCAAAAACTATGTACAGTGAGTTCTTTTCATAATTTCAAGCTCATAAGAATTGACTGAATATCAGGAGTCAAGAGTTGGCAATTTTGCTTATCACTTGTTGTGTCACACGTTCTTTGTGGTTTTTCTCAGTCATTTAAGAACCTTGGAATAGGCCACAACCTCTTCCTCTCATAATCTTCTGAAATCAACATTCGTAATTGGTCTGTGATTTTTCATTCATTGCTAAATATCTGTAGGGATTTATACAGAGTCTTCATATGTACTAAGAAGTGATCAATATTGTGTCATCTTGTTTGTCCAGTAAGCATTACAAAGAGATGTGAGAGAGATAAGCTTTGATGTGATGACATAAAATAGTTTAACGGAGAGTAGGTTAAATAACCATGACCCCATTTAGTTTTATTCCTTTCATACATACAATGCAGATATTTGCATCTGGGAGTGATTTGTGTATCACATCAGGGTGCGTTTGGTTATTGGTATGTAATCCAGAATTTTCTGCGCCACTTCTATGACATATTTTGAAGAGATGACTACAACAATAGATGCATTTTTCAACTAAATTTTATATTACTAGGGCAGAACGCTCCTTTCGGAGCTCCTCGGAGGGGTTGGTCAAGTTTTTAAAAAGCAACGAACCCCTTCGGGGGGGTTGGTTGCGTTTTAAAATCTTG